ACAAAACATAAACCCAAAAAAAAAAAAAAAAAAAAGAGAGAGAGAAAAAAAACAGGGCAGAGGAAAATAAGATTAAGCTTCTTCAGAAGCTTGGTAGATTCAAAATTTATTCAACAGATGTAATCATAGTTTTACAAACTGTTACTTCTGCCTTTCCATCTTTAAAATGTTATCTTTCTCACTAAATTAATATTTCTAAACAAAAGGAGAACAACTATATCTTGGTCTTAATGCGCAGAATCACACAGAGATAAATCCGAGAATAGAATCCACGAGTCACAGTTATAGGCACATAATTAGAGATCCATAACTCTTCTCTGAGCCTTTTAACAGAAGGAAAATAGCCAGTGAATTGTATCACTTACACAAGGGTCTTGACCCAAACTGCCCTACGGTATGGATTAAAAACACACTTAAAATACAATAAAGATTAACAGCTGTCTGTAATTTCCATCTGGCCACAGCAATCTAACCTCTTGGGGAATGAGACTAGGCAATGAGTTTTTACAGGCGACCTTCTTGATGGCAGGTTTGATAAGATTGATAATTCTGACACACACAACCCTACTCCAAATTTGGCTAGACTGATCTCCCTCCGCAGGAGCCAGCTGGCAGGTGCTAGCAAAGTGGAAAACAGAATAAACAGGCACTCTGACGCTGGCCAGGCATGGTACAAGTCCAGACTCCAGTCTGGGACTGCCAGAGCTGGTCAAGAAACACATTGGTTCAAAGATGGCAATTCTCCTTTTTCCTTTCAAAGCTCTCCCTACTTCCCCCACAAGGTTCCTTTGATTTGAAGATTCTCAAATCCTAGAGGTTCATTTATCAAAGAGACTCTAGTCAATGAAGAGAAAGACATCTGGAAATGTCAACCTACTGAGAAATTCTTGTCTCGGGATAAACACGATCACACCAAATTCACATGTAAGCTTTCAACTCTTTTTATCGATAGAAATTAGTCATTTGCTACCATTTTTGAGCACTTATTATGTATCAGAAACTAATCCAGGTGTGGAATGAAACCCCTCCTTTTTTTTTTTTTTTTTTTTTTTTGAGATAGAGCCTCAAGCTGTCACCCTGGGTAGAGTGCCATGGCTTCACTGCTCACAGCAAACTCTAATTCCTGGGCTCAAGTGAGTCTCCTGCCTCAGCACCCACCACAACGCCCAGCTATTTTTTTGGTTGCAGCCATTATTGTTGTTTGGCGGGTATGGGCGGGATTCAAATCCGCCACCTTAGGTATATGTGGCTGGTACCTTAGCCGCTTGAGCCACAGGCGCCGAGCCCAAACCCCTCCTTTTTAAATGAAATACAGAGTGTCTCAAAGTCACCATACACAGGAAAAATTTTAACAACAGCTATCTTGGAACACGTTCACCATGAGTGGGAGCAAAGACTTCATTCAGGTATGTGTGGAAAGAGGTGGCTGATTATAATACTTTGCAAGGCCAGGCACGGTGGCTCATGCCTATAATCCCAGAACTCTGAGAGGTGGGTGGACTGCTTGAGCTGAAAAGTTCCAGAACAGCCTGAGCAAGAGTTGAGATGCTATCCCTAAAAAAATAGGCCGGCACCTATAGTCCCAGCTACTAGGGAGGCTGAGGCAAGAGAATCACACTTAAGCCCAAGAGTATGAAGTCGCTGTGAGCTATGACACCACAGCACTCTACCAGGGGCAACAAAGTGAGACTCTGTCTCAAAAAAAAAAAAAAAAATTAGGCCGGGCACAGTGGCTCATGCCTGTAATCCTAGCACTCTGGGAAGCGGAGGCAGGTAGATATCTTGAGCTCAAGAGTTCAAGACCAGCCTGAGCAAGAGTGAGACCTTATCTCTACTAAAAATAGAAAAACTGAGGCAAGACGATGGCTTGAGCCCAAGAGTTGGAAGTGCTGTGAACTATGATGCCATGGCACTTGCCCAGTGCAACAGCTTGAGACTCTGTCTCAAAATATATATATTTTGCAAAATTTTAAATTTTATAATAGATATTTTGTAAATAAAGGCACATTTAACTATAATTTCCTAGGTTCTCTAAGTATCACAACTTTGGGATACCCTGTAGATTGCAAGTTCCATGACTAAGAGGGTAAGGAGCTTACTAGTATATAGGAAAAGGAAATTAGGGACTGAAAATGACTCAAAAGTCACACAATATGAATAAATGATTTACTATCCAAACTGGGACACTTTGGGGAATGAAAGGGCATTATTAATGCTGATGATAGGACAATAGGGATAAACTAGGACTGTCTCAGAACACTAGGACATAGAGTTACCCTACTAGAGAATGTCATTCTTTATGTAAAAACTTCTTCAATGATTTCCCATCACTATAAAATGAACTTTACACCAAAGACTCATCCCTGTAACTTAAGCATATACCTCACCTATAGCACCTATCACACTAGATGAGGGCTGCTGATTGTAAGCCAACCCCTACTGCCCCAGTCTGTTAACTCAAGGGCCAGAGTCTATGTCACAGGCCTTGGTGCTCTACACCAGCACTCAGTAAATGTGGCTGGACTAAATGGTTCATCCTCCATTTAGTCTCACCAATGCCACATTCTTTCTATCTCACAAACCACTCCTTTTTTTGTTGTCTCTCCAACAAAAAACCTGCACATTTCTTACCATTTAATGGGACACTATCAAACTTTATATGCCAGCAGAAAGAATATGTGAATAGATTAAATAAGACAAGAGTCTCTTGCCTACCCCTCACTTAATTTTCAGTATAGTCACTGACAGCTGGAGAACAACTCCAAGAGCTACAGGAAGTCCACAAGTGCATATGGGAGCTGATCACCAGGGCCAAGGCTGGGAGTAAGGAAAGGTTACTGCCATTTGGCGTCTTCACATTTAAGAAAGGTAACTACTATGAGTGCATATGTATATTCAAACATACTGCATACAAAATTACAAACTCTGTAAATCATAAATACAAACTCAGCTTTCTTTTTAAAAATGGAATTTTACAAAAATAAAATATTACCTAAAATTAAGCCCACCATTGTACTTAAATATCCGGTTCCACTTCCCAGGTTAAGAAAAGACAATCCTGGCTTAAGTTTCAATGCTTCCATAACTTCAGAGTAAATGCAAGGTGCTGATAAATGGATGTTTCCATGCTTCCAGGCTAAGTCTTTGTAAGCATTGTCTCTGTAGCCTTCCAAATAGTAATCTCCGCGATCAATAGCTCTGAAGGCTTGCTCCACTCTTTCAGTGCGGATATACTGAGCTTCTTTTAAATTATCAATTAAATCATCATTATCTTCCCCAGCACTCACAGCTCCTCCCATGATAGTATTCAAATCAAATCATAAATTTTAAATGTAATAAAATTAGCAGAAATAGCTTCCAATATCGCACTTGATTTCCAAAAATAAATTAATCCTGGAAAGGAAGAATAAAAACAGGTTTAAATTAATGCTCAAAAGGAAAATAATTCCAGTTTGTTAAAGAGATGTCATTATAATTAATTACCATTTCTCAAGGACATATTCTGCTCCCGGCACAGTGTTAAACTCCTTAAGTATATAACTTTATCTAATTCTCATAGCAACCACAAAAGGTAGCTTAAGTATTCTTTTTCTCTCTACACAGGAAAATACAGACACACTAGGTCCTCACCTAGTATATGAGGACCATCATGGTGGCCACTAGTCACATGTGGCTACCTAGAACTAACCTAATTAAAATCAAGTGTTTAACAGCTACTAGTGTGGCTACTGGCTGCCACACTGGACAGTATTGCTCTGGAAAGTGGCACTGCTGGGACTTAGTCTCTGGTCTTTCAAATCTAAAAACCATGCTCTTAATCACTAAACCACATGGCTTATAGTAATGCTACTTTAAAAAGCAATTAGTTGCTGGATTTAAAATTTCTAAACTTAAAAAACTGCAAACAATTCCAAAATGCACTATGTAAATTTAAAATCTTAATACAAATACAGTGTGGGAATAAAGCTCATGTGCACACAAACTTTATGGCCACCCTGTGTATTACCTAAAAACTCAATATAAAACACAAAAAGAAAAAACCCAGACCCACATGTTCAATACACACACATTAACATTGTTTTGTTTGATAAACTTTGTTGTGATAAATAATGAGACCACAAATTTATTAACAACTTTTAATAGTCCATGAGAACATGTTTTATGTGCACACACATATACCTCCATAGAAATTGAACTCTGACAGGTGAAACTCAGCATCTTTGAATGGAAACATAAGTGCAACATGATCCAGCGGTTCTCAACCTGTGGGTCTCAACCCCTTTGGGGAGCGAACGACCCTTTCACAGGGGTCACCTAAAACCGTCACATACACCCTGTACAAATACAGGTGTATGAAAATAATTTTATGGTTAGGGGTCGCTACAACATGAGGAAATGTATTCAAGGGTCACGGCATTAGGAAAGTTGAGAAACACTCTGATAAACTAAAGGATTTCAACACATAATACTGAATACACAATTTAAGCTTTATGTAAATATAGTTAAATAAATTTGTGTATCAATTTCTGAATTACTAAATTAAGAGGAGAAGCTGAAAAATGAAATACCCATGGCCAAAAACAAACATTATGACAACTGACTGTGGCAAGGCTGTACCCCCAAATCGACTTTGGAGAAGAAAAGCCCACAGACCCTGCAGCATCCTTAGACCTCTGCCGCTGAGCTCACCAGGGCTTATCACATTGCCTTTTATCAGTGCTCTCTTTGTCCCTTTCTTGTGATATCCTTCACTTTCTGAGTAAATACTATTAACACATAGAACATTCATATTTCATTCAAACATACAAAGTTGGCTGGTTCTACCCTCTCCAACCCACAAAAAGAAATAATATTAAAATTGCCAAGAATTTACAGACCCTTCTCCTCAATGACTGTATTTCGCACCAAATCGTTCAATGGGCGATGTCAATCCACTACTCTTTCAACAGGTCTTAATTGTGGCATCCTTCTACAGCTCAAGCAACACAATTTACTAAGTTCATTCCAGGATTTAAGAATTCTTTTTGGTTTATGTTTGTTTTTAATAACATGGTATCTAAACACAAGTCAGCTTTTTCATCTGGCATTCAAAAGTGAATCTCTTCCTATGGTGAGACAAAAAATGGCTGACATAGTCTATGTCGAGGGTGGCACCTGGTAAGGACTTGACAATAGTAATTTTGACTACCTTCAGATGTTTAACATATTGCTCTACTGTGAATGCTACAAGTTACAAGTTTTAAACATTATTCCCTGTGTGTTGGTTCTAGTGCTTAACAAGGACCTGATCCTTCTTAGGTCCTTATTAAGAACCTTAACTGAAGTCCTTCTTAAGAACTCCATCCTATTCAAAAATATCATAGCAAATCAGTCAATCAAACATCATCAATTTTATTACTCAGCTCACATTCTTGGTGAGAAAAAGGCAACAGAAGAATCAACTAAACAAAAAAGTACCACCATTTACTGACACTGTACCAAGTATGTTATTTCTATGTTATCTCAATGAAAATTACAATCCGCCTACGGAAAAGGCATTAGTACGCCTACTTTCAAGTGAGAAATCATCTGTAAGGGCTTAAATAGTACAATGCACCAAAATCCAAACAAACGCAAAGAGGAAACTGGATCCAGGGTTCAAGGACAGTTTCCTAAAAGGCATGCACAATGTGAAACAGTTAAAAAAGTAGACTTGTAAAGCTAAAAGAAGAGTGAAGATGATGCTTTAAAGAAATTACCGGCTCGGCGCCTGTGGCTCAAGCGGCTAAAGCGCCAGCCACATACACCCAAGGTGGCGGGTTCGAATCCAGCCCGGACCCGCCAAACAACAATGATGGCTGCAACCAAAAAATAGCCAG